ATATCATAAACCTAAAGATGTGAGATCGAGAGACTAGTGTGATCGAAATCGTTGTCACTTGTATGATCTTAAAATCGAAAGATCTTAAGATCAAAATCGAGATTTTAACAACCTTGCTTATATTATTCAGAGACACATACTTTGGAAGCATGTGTTCTTTATCATGATTAGGCATGAATACGAGAGGTAATACATGAAAGATATAAGTTACGTGGAAATGTTTTAAAGACTTTTTTTCTTATATGTATGGCAGAATTTTTCCTCTTCTTTCTTTCTACAAAAAGTCGAGAGCTTCGAAGGACATAATGATGAAAAACTAGATTTGTTTATTCACAAAACCATACCCTTATTCCATAGACTTTTGTTACTAGAGGCATTGTGTTTTAAAGTAATGATAGTCAATGAGTAAGGAAGACTCTTAAAGGTGTTTAAAAGGCTTTCATCTCTTGTTGTTGGATATTGATGAAAAACGTATGATGGTTGTTCTCTCTTTCTTTCTCTCTCTCTCTCTCTATCTCTCTCTATCTCTATCTCTTCTCTTTCTTTCTCTCTCTCTCTCTCTCTCTCTCTCTTTATGTATTAATTACATAAGACAAGTAGAATATAATTGATACCTGATGCTCTTCTTTAAGACAAAAAATTGGCTTCTGTTCTTAAAGGCTTAAGCGCTTAACTGCAAAAAAGATCTAGCATTCAACTCAACTTGGTAATTGTTGGTACATACTTCTTGAGGAACTCTCTTTGGCTCTTTCCACACTTCATCAACTACCAACCTCCCAGGAGGATTTAAAGTCTTCAAAGTTTGTTACTTTCTTCATTCTATGGTTGTTTTAATCTTCATGTTCATGCAAAACATCCTTGGTGGGTATAAACTAGTTTTATGTTGTTCAAACCTTAAATGATTCCATTTCCATCTTTGCGTTTTTTAAACCAAGTTTTTGAATAAAATCCAACATCAAACTAGAAATGTAGTCATACTTAGAGGATAGCTCATTAATGGTGTAAATCATTAGGTTTTTCTCTAGGACGACTAAATCAATATTTTCTGGTAGATCCGTGATGGTTATAATCCTAGTGAAATAATTTGTGATAGTGGAGTCGCCAATGGCTACTATCTAGAGTTCGTTGTCGAGTTAAATGGTATTGAATTCTTATTGTCCCATGACAGTTTTTCCAAGTTGTTCCATAATTGATAGTTGGTCACATTATGCTTGAGTGTCATTTGAAGAAGACCCTGAGATATGGTGCTATAAATTCAAGATTTAACAAGAGAATCAAGACATATCCATTCTTGAGCAGCCGTATTAGTAGGCTTCGCTTGATCCAAATGAACAGTGACTTCGTAACAAGGTTCTAAATGGCATGAGACATGGCATGGTAGTAACGTCAATCCTCAAGCCACGGCGACCCTTGACAAACCATGATGTTTTTCAAGGCGTGACAACTTTATATACATTAAAATAAATAAATCACATAATTATAACATCATATCAAACATATAGGCTTCAGATGTGTTATATCAATGATTAATCTAAAAACATTAACAAAAACTTATTTGTTTCATGCTGATAAAAAAAACAAGATAAAAACAAAACTCGTGCCATAACGCGATAAGGCGTACCTAGCCATACTTTTTGGGCGCCACTCTTAAAAAATAAGCATGTTTTTGGGACGGCTACCTCATGCCTCGACGCCATGGCACGCTTTGGTGCATTATTTACAACACTTCTCCATCATCGACGCGATGAGTATAGAAAAGCTCACTTCATGCGTCGTAGTTAAGTCGTTAGAGGTGAAGTATAAAGGGACAACAACACATATGTTGGAGATGGCATATGGTTTATTGACTGCGGCTAGGGTTGCTGTGTGGTCTGTTAAATTGGAAAGAAGAGAGGAGACAAAATTGGAAGTAGGGTTCTGCAGAAAAGATGGAGATTTTAGAGAGATTATAGGAATCGTTCCAATACCATAATAAATCTTATTTTCACATGAATCATTACTTTGCATTAGACGATAAATATATATACATACATAGAGGGACGAACATCAAAAGAATCCCGCTTAGACCATAAAACTTGTAAACTAACAAGGCATAAAACGACTATTGTTTCGTATTATTATAAAATGAGAAGTACAAGATACAAAGAAAGGAAAATACATAATATATAGATTAGCTAATTAGGGTTTTCTAACTAATGGGCCAATACAAAATAAAACCCAAAATCTTATTAGGCTAACATCCCCCCTCAAACTCACAATGTAACAACAATAAACATTGAGAGTTTGTTAGACATAAAATGAAATCGAGGAGCAGTCAAAGGCTTCGTAAGAATATTTGCAATTTGTAAGGTGGAAGGAACATAAGGAAGAGAGATAGTACATTTCTGGAGATGATGTCGTGTGAAATGACAATCAATCTCAATATGTTTTGTGCGTTCATGAAACACTGAATTCTTGGCAATCATTATCGCACTGTCGTTGTCACAATACAAAGGGGTAGGTTCAAAGATGTGAACGCCCAAATCTGCAAGAAGCCATCTCAACCAAAAAATCTCACAAGTGGAGATAGCCATGACTCGATACTCAGATTCTGTAGAAGAACGAGAGACAACATCTTGTTTCTTACTCTTCCATGATATCAATGAATCTCCAAGAAAAACACAATACCCACTAGTGGACTTACGATCATAAATACCCATATCCCAATTAGCATCACTATAGGCACGCAACTCAAGAGAGGATGTAGATGGAAACACAAGGGTGCGGAACTGTGTACCACGAAGATATCTCAAAATACGAAGAACAACTCCCCAATAAACAGTAGAAAGGGCAGTGACAAACTGGCTAACCACAAGAACTGCATTAGCAATATCCGGTCTAGTGACAGTTAGGTAAACCAAACTCCCTACAATGGTACGATAAAGACTTAGATCTGATAAGGGACACCATCAGTTGCAGAATACTTTGCATTACTCTCTATAGGCGTACCAACTGTCCGATTATCTGTGAGTCGTGTGCGTTCAAACAAATCTGAAATATACTTCGTTTGAGATAAAAGATAACCCTTTGGAGACTGAGCAACTTCAATCCCCAAGAATAACGTAGCAAACCCAAGTCTTTCATAGCAAAACGATGAGCCAAATCACACTTTAAAGACTCTATACCATCATGATCATCACCAGTAATAATCATGTCATCTACATATAAGGAAAGAATAATCTGCGCAACGTTGTGCCTTCTACAACTCGTCCCCAAAAACAAAAATACAGATGATCAACCGAGCTCTGATTCCATGTAAACTAACAAGACATAGAATAACTAGGGTTTCATATTATTATAAAATGAGAAGTACAAGATACAAAGAAAGGAAAAGACAATATATACACTAGCTAATTAGAATTTTCTAGCTAATGGGCTAATATAAAACCCAATACAAAATAAAGCTCAAAATTTTATTAGTCCAACACAGCTGTGTGATGTGATGCTAACTATACCTATCTAGTTTTAAATTTATAACCTACCAAACTTATACTAACTATGCACCTATAGGCAGTGTACCTAGTCAAATTATAGTATAGCTTTGGGTAAGTCGGGTGTCGATCACAGGGAACAAATTTAATTAACTAATTTAACTACTAAAAATTAATCTAAAACAAGCAAAAGTTAATTGGATTTTTATATGATTTTGCAAGTTCAGACAAACTTAATCACTTAACTATCAAATTCAATCAATTACTAAAAACACTTTTGTTTAGTCCGAATCTACTTCTCCTCTATGGTTAGCTTCTTATTATGGATTATTAAAGTTGGTTACCAAATTTTATATTATTAGTAATTTAAGTCCAAATTTACTAAAGTTTCACTAATTCATGTAAAACTATGCATTGTAACACACAATCAAACACAAAATCAGTTATGGATCATGAATGAGGCTATGTAAGATTTATTAAACAAACATAATTATGGTCATAATCTATGTTCTCTAGCACAACTAAATTTAATTACTTCAATTACTTATCTAAGATTGGGTCGATCCTAGCTCTAGCAATCAATGGTCACTAAATCAGTAGGTGTCAAGTTCATGTAATTTAATAGCCACTAAGCTACACAGAACATGAATTCAAGCAATTTAAGTATCAAATATTAACATGCTAGGTATTAACAATTGAACACAAGCACATAACCAACTATTAAAAATCCATAATTAATAAACTAATCCATGAAGTTGAAGATTCATCTAGCTAAACAGAAGCAACTAGATTCAACTACTCATGACTGAAATCACACAATCAAATTCAATAAATAAAGACATAATTGAATGTACCAAACTAAAGTAATGATTATAGTCTTCAATCTCTAAACCTTTAATCAAATTCTCCTTCCTTCAATGCTTGGACTTGGTTTTTTGATTAAACTTCCTCCAGAAATCGTTCTCTAAACCCTCCAAGTCTCCAGAAGAACTCTCCAAAATCGTAAGTGCCAAGGACTTTATATATTTTTCGGAAAAGCCCTGCTCACGTCGTGAGGCTTAGAGCTCACGTCGTTAGATTAGTTGTAATCCGTACGGATTCTGTCCTCCGAATGTCTATCTTCTAGAAGCTTGAGGCTCACGTCGTGAGGTTGACTTTTCAGCTATAATCTTCTCCTTTTAAGCTCCAAACCTCCAAAGTTCCAATTCTTGTCGTTTTTGGTCTTTTATCTTCAAGAACGTTCCTTTTGGCTGCAAAATAAAATTCAATCTCATAAGCACCACATATCTTTGCAAATAACCAAAATATTAAACAAAATGCATTAAAATATTGCCTAAAAATATGTATAAATAGCGCAAAATATCAGTATGCTATACAAATAAGTACATACCTACGACACAATCTAATACTTTCTTCCTTCTTTTTTTCTTTTCTAATTACTCCTTCCAATCTTTATAATTGGTTGTCTAGATTGCTGTCTTTTTCAACTATTATGGCATCCACACCATCAAAAAGTTAAAGGAACCTAGAATGGCGGAGGTCATGACTAATACCTTGGTTGGTAAAATAGTGGACTTGTTGTTTAGTGCGGCTAAACGGCAGATCGATTATGTCCGAAATTACACTGAAAATATTGAGAAATTGAGAAATGAAGCTCAAAAGCTGAAGGATATGAAGGGGAGGATTCAACAAAAAGTTCATGCGGCTGATGATAAAGGAGATCGTCTCTTAGATGGTGTCCAAAACTGGATTGACAAGGCGGGCACTGAAATATCCATGGTGCAGGATTTTCTTGAACAAGAAGTTAATGTGAAGAAGACGTGGTTTAACTCACGATTTTGTGTCAATTTGGGTACCCTCTATCGTTACAGTAAGATGGCAACAGACAAAACTCATTTTCTTGTACAGCACCAGGAAGATGGCAAACCTTATGAAAGTTGTGTCTCAATTCCTACTCCAAGCCCAAGTTTTGTAGACCTCTACCAAAGGAAGAATCTTGATGATATAGACACCCAAAAATTGACTTTGGAGAAAGTCATTACAACTATCTCAGATGAGAGCATACAAATAGTTGGAATCTACGGCTTAGGAGGTGTAGGAAAAACTACATTAGCCAAGGAAGTTGCTGTGAAGTTGAAGAATCAATTTGCAGATATTGTGTTTATTACAGTCTCACAAACTGTAGATGCTAAAATGGTTAAAGAAAAGGTCAAAGATGCAGCAAAGAAAGTAATGATCGGAAAGAAGATTCTAATCATTTTAGATGACATATGGGAAATACTAGTGTTGCCTGATATGGGCATTCCATGTGGTAATGATCATATGAATTGTAAGATTTTGTTGACATCTCGAAGCAAGAATGTATGTGAAGCCATGACCGAAGAGAATAATATTATTTGTGTAAACCCTTTGACAAAGGAAGAAGCGTGGGTCCTGTTCAAACGTGTGGTTTATGAAAGAACATTAGAGGCCAGTGTCGAACTGGAAAAAATTGCTAGAGATGTCACCAAAAAATGTAATGGATTGCCGTCGATCATTCACGCGGTGGGAACCACTTTGAAAAACAAAAGCATTGATATATGGAAGGCGAAACTTGATCGACTACAAAATCATGCCCTAGTAGATCTCGATCAAGAGATAGAGAAAGCATTTACTCGTTTGAAATTGAGTTACGACTATCTTAGAAGCGAAGAAGCTAAGTCATGCTTCTTATTATGCAGTTTGTTTAAAGAAGACGAAATCATTCCGTTGAAGATATTGGCAGAATACGGGGTGAGTCTAGGGATATTTAATAATCTCGAAAGCATTAATGATGCAAAAAACAGAGTTCAAATTGCGGTTGACACCCTCGCATCATCTTTGTTGTTAGTGCCTGACCGATGGCGAAATAGAGTAAGAATACACGATGTTGTTCGTGATTTGGCACTGCTAATAGGTAAAGACAAATTTATGGTGAAGGTTGGAAAAGATTTGAAAAGATGGCAACCAAGAAACAACACCTCACAGAACTACACCAAGATTTCTCTCATGGAGTGTCGAGTTCTTAATGACCTTATACTTCATTTCCCATCCCTTGATACCTTACTTCTACAAAGAACCTGGATAGCCACTGTTCCCGATGAATTCTTTGAAGGTGTGAGAGAACTTAAAGTTTTAGATATGACATACTGTACCATGTCATCCCTCCCACAATCACTAAAGTTGCTCACAAAACTCCGCATGCTCAACCTAAGTGGAAACACGTATTTCCATGAAATTTCTATACTGGGGGACCTAAAAAACCTTGAGATTTTGAAGCTAAGAAATACGATTATTGAAAGGATTCCTGAAGAAATCGGCCAATTAACAAATTTAAGGTTGTTGGATGTTTATGGTTGTAAGTGTCTATCCCATGTAACACCTGGTGTCATCTCAAAGTTCGTTTTGTTGGAAAAGCTGCACATTGGATTCTTCTTGAACCAGGAGGAGAATTACAATTGTCTAGTGGAAATAAGTAACTTGAAGTCGTTAAAAACTCTACAGTTATATGTGTTTCATTGTGATCTTATTCCTGAAGGTGCCAACTTTAAAATTTTAACAAAGTTTTCTATTCAGATTGGTAAATTTATTAATATTTGGGTAGGTCATAGATCTCACCGGCTACAGATTGCAGAATCTAACATCCCATTCAAGATGCTAATCAAAGAACTGATTCAGGTTAGTGACACTTTAGTATTGTGGTTGATAAAAGATCTGGATAACATCGTACCAGACTTGTATAAAGAGAGTTTTGATGAATTGAAGTGTATTAAATTAAGAGACTGTCAAAACGTTTCATGCTTGGTGAAGACAAGGAATCATAAAGCAATACAAACCTTTTTTACATCCAATGACATTGGTCAAATTAGACAAACAAAGAAAAAGTTTTTTTCCCAAGTGGAAGAAATCTATTTGGTAGATCTGCCTTGCTTGAAGCTTCTATGGGATTGCCCACATCAATATATAAGTTTCAGTAATCTACAAACGATTGAAATTAATGGATGCTCCTCCTTGTTAATGTTATTCCCCATGAGCATAGTACAAGAGCTTGCCAAGCTAAGAGATATATTGATATTGAGATGTGACAGTTTGGCCGATGTGATTACTGAAACTCAAATGGGCATACCGGATCCGGATGCAAATATTGTGTTCCCTTTGCTTACCAATATTAGCTTAGGCTATTTACCTAAACTCAAGTCTTTCTACTCTGGGCATTCTAGTATTAAATATCCTTCATTGAAGTCTATTATGGTGAAAGATTGTCGTAGCATGGAGAGATGGGGTTATGGAGTACATGATATACCCAAGATCAACTTCCATCATCAAGGGACCCCATGCAACATTAATGATATTATCACATTACACCATAAGGTATGAAAAGCGTATACCCTAATATACATCTAGATAGTATTATTGATTTGTTACATGACCCAACTTGTAAATTTTGTAGACGAATAAGGATATGGAGTTTGAAACACCGCCATGACAGAGCTTCTAAAATACATGGATGATTAAAAGTGCACCTCATCAATAACCAACGAGGGTGATACATAGGGTAAGTCATTCAAAAACTTAAGAAGATCTGTTACAAATGGAATTCAAAGTCTTAATGTGTACTATATGTATTAGGGATAAGTTTATACCACAAATAATAATAATAATAATAAACCTTCCCCAAGTCTTAATGTTTTTTTATTTATGTATTTTTTGTCTTCATACTTTCTGGACGGTGACGTTATTGCTAGTGTCATTATTCAATTAGCCTTTATTATTCAATTAGCCTTTATTTTCTTGACAATATTGAACGATGGTGATGTAGAGCGTTTAATATAATTTGACATTTATTTATTTATTTATTTTGTGAATTCTTTAAATGGTTCTTCAAAATCCTCAAGGGCTTAAGGCCATCCCAATCGGGATTCTATGAGGAGTTTAATGGGAAAAAATGGTTATGTGGCTGTTGAATGAATATATATTGCATTGTGGAGTGGGTTGAACGAACGGGGTTTAATCCCCATTCAAGGGTGTAATGGGTTTGGTTTTTTTTTTTTTTTTTTTTTTTTTTTTCAATTTATTATAAAAACTTATTTTTTTTTTCTCACTTTATGATAAAAACTTATTCTTTTTTTTTTCTTTCTATATAAAATAGAAAGTAATATTTAATATTTTTTTTTTGCAATAAACAAAAAATATATATATATTATATATATATATATATATATATATATATATATATATATATATATATATATATATATATATATATATATCTATATATATATGGGAGGGTTCAATTGAGAAAAAAAAAGGTTGAGCATGGGGGAATCATTCTCAGCCACTCATTTATTTTTGTCGCAAAAACCTCCGTCGTACCAGCGGAAATAGGAAATGAATAGACATGTGTTTTCCAACAAAACATATCTCCTTAAACTATGCTAATTATTACCTTAATATATAAAAAAACATAGTTTTTTCGTTTTTTTTTTTTAAATTTTAAGAAACTATTTTTATCGAAAAATGATTTTAAATATACCAAAATTCATGATTTTTTTATTCTCTACAAATAGACATCCATATTTATATAGTTTTAAGATAAAATAAAAATTTTTTTTTTTTATATTTTCAGCTATCGTTATTCATAAGTGAATAAAAATGCATCAGGTTTTATTACAGTACATTCGTTATTCACTTATGAATAAAAAGTATGATTATTTTTTTTTTTACAATTTAAGTATCATTCATATATGAATATAACATATAATAAACATAGTATATTTATATTTAAATATTAGACGATGCATTCACTTGTGAATATTAGATGGTATATTCACTTATGAATATTAAATGATATTTTCATATGTGAATATTACATAGTATTACATGGTATATCACATGTGAATATTACATAATATATTCACTTGTGAATATTAGATGATATATATTCACTTATGAATATTACACAGTATATTCACATATGAATATTACAAGGTATATTCACTTGTGAATATATTTACTTATGAATATTAGAAGGTATTTTCACAAATATATATAATTTTTATATGTTATTCACATATGAATGACATAGAGACTTGCATATTTGTTTTGTGTTTTTAATAATCATGTACTGATTCAGGTGAGAAAACATATTCATATGTGAATATAACGTGATAATTTAGTTTATGCATTTCATCAAACAGTTGGAGTGCATACAAGTTAACTATTTTTAAAAATGTTAAAAACATCAAGTTATCAATTCCAAATCATCATATACTTCTGATTTCGACTTCAGATGCGATTTCCGAATCATGAAGTTAACTATTTTGATTTTGACCGAAAATCCGATTGGGAACCTGTGAGTACCGATTCTGAGTCCTTCAATGTCGACTGTGACTGCGAGTCCAGAACTCCGATTCCAATTTCACGAACAACGAAGAAATTCCGATTCCAACTGATTTCGTTTGCGAATCTGGGAAATTCCAGTTCCAAATCCGTTATGAACTTTAACAAATCGATGAAATTGATGAATTTGGGTTGCGAATCTGTCTTGAACGACGAACCTCCCAGCCACGAATATCGATGATTGATTAACACTGGATGACATTGATGATGGTTTAGTTGAAGAAATCTGGATGATTGTTGAAGGTTGGAGGAGAAATTTTGATGATGAACGAACTGTTATCGAATTCTCTATAGTTACGTATTTAAGATTGAAGGTTATTAACATATTTACAAGTTTGCCACCGTGTCTTTTTATGCTTAGATTAAATAAGTGGCTGAGAATGATTCCCCCATTCTCAACCTTTTTTATTTTCTCAATTGAACCCACCTCTCTCTCTCTCTCTCTCTATATATATATATATATATATATATATATATATATATATATATAATAATAATAATAATAATAATAATAATAATAATGCATGAATTGTCTTGGGTAATTTGGTCACAAAGTCCATGGTAATCCTTTCCCATTTCCACTCGGGTATTACTGGCTGTTGTAATAGTCCCGATGGCTTTTGATACTCTACCTTCACTTTAGCACAAGTGAGGCACTTGCTAACGTAAGTGGCAATCTCTGCCTTCATGTTAGGCCACCAATAACATTATTTAATATCCAGGTACATCTTATCTGATCCCGGATGGATGAAGTATCGTGTCTTATGGGCCTCATTCATGACTACCTCTCTGAATCCCCTAAGTTTAGGGACTCAAATTCGGTTCATGAAATAATATGTTCCTTCCTCCTTGACTTTGAAGTTCTTTTCCATTCCATGTAACGCTTCGCTAATTCTGTTTTCTGTCTTCATGGCATCAGACTGGGCTTCTTTGATTTGCGAGAACAGGTGGGATTGAATGGTTATTGAAAGAGTTTTCACACGACGATTTGAGTATTCTTTCCGACTCAAGGCATCCGCTACCACGTTAGCCTTGCCTGGGTGGTACTTGATTTCGCACTCATAATCGTTTAGCAGCTCAACCCACCTTCGCTTCCTCATTTTTAACTCCTTTTGATTTAAAATGTGTTGGAGACTCTTGTGGTCGGTGAAAATGGTGCACTTCGTACCATAAAGGTAGTGCCTCCAAATCTTCAAAGCGAAGACCACAGCTCCCAATTCGAGATCATGGGTGGTATAATTCACCTCACGTGTCTTTAGTTGTCGGGATGCATAAGCTATCACCTTCCCACGCTGCATGAGTACACAGCCTAAACCCTGATTCGAACATCGCAGTAAACTACGAAGTCTTGAGTTCCCTCTAGTAAAGATAATACTGGTGCACTACAGAGAGCTCGTTTTAGAGTTCGGAAGGCAACCTCCTGCTTTTCTGTCCATTCAAATGGTGCGCCCTTCTATGTGAGCAGGGTAAGTGGCTTGGCTGTTCTGGAGAAGTTCTGAATGAATCGTCTGTAATAGCCTGCGAGACCCAGAAATTGACGAATTTTTGTGGGTGTTGTTGGAACTGCCCATCCTTCAATGGATTTGATCTTAGAAGGGTCCACATGTATCCCTTCTTGGCTGACAACATGACCTAAAAAGTTTACGCTACGGAGCCAAAACTCACACTTAGACAGTTTTGCGTATAACTTTTCGGTTCGTAGGGTTTCCAAGATTTGCCGGAGATGTCGACTATGCTCCTCTTCGGTTCGAGAATAAACTAGGATATTGTCGATGAAAACGATGACAAAGTTATCAAGGAATGGTCGGCAGACTCGATTCATCAGGTCCATGAATGCGGCAGGGGCATTTGTTAGACCGAAGGGCATTACAACAAATTCATAATGTCCATAGCGAGTTCGGAAAGCGGTCTTGGGGATATCCTCTTCCCGGACCTTGAGTTGGTGGTAGCTGGATCACAGATCTATCTTAGAGAAATAGTTCGCTCCTTGAAGCTGGTCGAATAGATCGTCGATTCGCGGAAGTGGGTCGCGATTTTTGATAGTGAGCTTATTCAGTTCTCTATAATCGATACACATTCTAAAGGATCCGTCCTTCTTTTTAACAAAAAGGACCGGAGCTCCCCAGGGTGAGAAGCTAGGTAGGATGAATCCTTTGCTCAAGAGTTTGCTGAGTTGGCTTGACAGTTCTTGCATCTCCGTAGGAGCCAACCTATAGGGTGATTTGGCAATGGGTGTAGCTCCTGGCACAAGGTCAATTCGGAACTCGACTTGTCTTTCTGGGGGTATCCCCGGAAGATCTTCAGGAAAGACATCCGGGAAGTCGCAAGCCACTGGGATGTCTCGAATATCGACCTCTTCTTTGGACTTATCCACTATGTTAGCCAGAAACGCCAAGTCCTTCTTTTGTAGATACTTCTGTGCCTTTATGCACGAGACGAGACGAAGGTTCGTACTGAGTTTGTCTCCGTATATAATTAGAGTTTCGTGGTTAGGGAGATGAAGGCGAACGACCTTCTCGCAACACATAACTTCGGCATGATGGGGGTTCAACCAATCCATGCCGATAATCACATCAAAACTCCTAATGGTTACAGGCATCAAGTTTATTTGAAATACGTGATGATTTAAGGTTAGGGTACATCCTACGTAGATTTCCCCAGTTGATTCTGTTTTCCCATTAGCCATTTCCACCGTAAAGGCTTCATTAAGCTTTTGGGGTTGATGTTTTAGCAAATGTTTGAATTTATTACTCACAAAACTTCGCTCTGCCCCGGTATCAAACAGAATGCATGCATAGGTGTGGTTAAGGAGAAACGTACCAGTGACAACAGCGGGATCCTGAACCATTTCTCCTTGACCCATGGTCAGCACTCTCACTGCTCCTCCATTCCCTTGGTTGTTGATATTGGGGCAGTTTCGACGGAAATGTCCAGTCCTTCCACATCCATAACAGGTGTGGCTAGCTCCAGTGTTGTTGCCGTTGTTGTTAGTGTTGTTGTTGTTGCGGTTGTTGTTGTTGTTATTGTTTCCCTGCTGCTGGTTCTGGGAAGGATAGGTTTTGCAGTATTTTGCCGTGTGACCCTTTC